TCGTTCTCTCTTTGTCTTTTTTCCTGTCTGTACGTGTGCCGCTGTGTGTTGTGTGGGTAGCCATGTGGTGGATTTAGGGCTAAAGCTTTGGGTGATTACTCCCATAATGAACCATCATGCTCTGTTCAGGCTGTCATCCCCCACAGGGATTGACTGTATTATGAAGTTATCGTTCAGCCTCAGCAAAAACTCTCTGTCCTCGCATAACTCTCTAAACCAATATAGCTGTACACACAGAATGTGGTAATGATTAGATTTATGCTGCATGAAATTAAACATCATCATTCAGGTGGGAGGAGGTTGTGGAGAATTTACAGATTTCAAAACGTGGTCTATTGATGTACCTATAGAAAGCAGACTGCTTGTTCAACTCCCAACAAACCCTCGCCATGATCATTTGTGGATCGCTTTACACATTTTCATTTCTTGCATGGCAGAAGAGTTTCAAAATTACGAGTAGAACAGACGACTAATTTAGAGGCTTGCTTCAGTCGTAACTGTGATGTGTATAGTTTTAGCTCTCAAACGTCTATACAATGACTTTTCATCCACTAATAATGACTAATTATGGATCAGTCTACACATTTATTCATTTATTTTTGCATTTTTGGATCGATTTATGCTTTTGCAAAACATTTTGCAGTAATTATAGGCTGAATTTAGGTAATATGTGGAACTTGCAAATTGGGACAGTTAAGTTTTGAGATCAATCCCTATCCACAATTTTGGGCTTCAGCCACCTAATATTTTATTAAACTATTAAGTAATTAACATTTCCTTAACAATACAATACAATGCATGATTTGTTCAGTTCAGCATGTGTGCATTACTTTGAAAAGCGCTGACTTTAAACCCCATGTACTTTTTAGCTTACCACATATCCCTCTCCTTGTATTAAGAGTAAAGCTAGTATCCTGATGAAAGAGATGTAATCAAAGTCAGATTGATGGCCAGGCAGTGTGATGGATTGCTGCATGGTTTAAGGAGAGATAAGGCAGATAAATAGAGATGATACAGGGTGGACTCACTGGCACAGGCTTCTGTTGGATGGTTTGTTTTCAAGAGTGGGCTGGACATGAGAAAGTCTTTGATGAGTAAAAAACCAAGCAGGTGGTTTTGGGATTAAGAAAGAGAGAGGTGCTCCTGCTGTGTGCTGCCAACATCTCCCTCCATCCTCCTCTTTCTCCCTGCCTCTCATCTTTCAACCATCCACCTGCCGCCCCCACCTTCCCTACACAGCCTACACTCCCATTTCACCTCTCCTCTCCTTTCACTCTGCCTCCCTGTATGTCCGTTAGCCGCTGTGAGGTGACTGTCCTGATGAAATACCCGGAGAGAGACTCCGAGTCGGCTGGTTCAGCATTAAAAAATGTTCTATCAAGTGTGTGTGTGTCTGTGTGTGTCCACAAATAGTGCACAACGGCTGACTGAGAAGGTGATTAAGAGTACACCTGGGAACTAGGGGAGTATAAGGACACAAGGATATCACACACACACACACACACACACACACACACACACACAGACGCACACACAGACGCACACACTGTGTCTCTCTACGAACGTTTTCTGTATGGTTATAGAAATTTAAGGACAGGGATTTGTCTTCCATCGATGCAGGTATCCTTTACAAACTTACAAAGTGACTCATACTCTTCAAAGTGAAAAAGTTTGTCGTAGTTTATATAAAATCTCAAAGATGGTGTCAGTTACTGCTGCCAGATCAACAAACCTCTGGATATCACTCTGAAGTACACAGATCATATATCTTGAGCTACATGTAGGATGCCAAAGTAATTCATCATCTTCACTTGCCGACATTTGTCATAAATATGATACATGACACATAATCATCCAGATGGAAATCTGGCTTGCACACCCACGCAGTGACACGAACACCCACATGCATGCCCAGTGCACTTATCCATGAACATGTGTACACAAAGTAATATCTGCAGTAATGTACACGAATGCAGATATATACGTTTTGACCAAGTGGCAACCTCTGGAGTTGAAGAATGATGTCAAGGAGAGAGGGCTAAAAAACTGCAGTTCCTCCAGTGTCCACCTGAGGCTGGCTGCAAAAGCCAAGAAATTAGAGCCCTTATGAAAATAATGATTTTTACACAAGAATTTAATGTGCTTAAAACTTGGTTTAAAAGATGAATTTGTTATCAATAGCTCATTTCTTTATTGGTTGATTGGTGTGTGTTTTCAATAACTCATCCGTTTTCATTTAATGAAGTCTAAGAGTTATTCAGAAATTTGCATAATTTGGGGCGTTAATGGTCTGACTTTGTTTCTGGACTGGACAACAGTTAGGTGTGGAGAGCACTTCTAATATGGCGACCACCATCTTTGGGCTTCATAACGCCATCTTAGACTACATCCATGTTTTATACAGTCTATGATTTGAGCACAGAAATGAATACCCCATATTTAGTATTTTTTACATTTGTTTTATCACTACAGCAAACTTTTAATGCTGTTGGTGTTTGTGTACTCAAATGTTTATACACGACTTGAACGGGTGGAAATGGCAGTTTTTCAGAACTTGTTATCGAGATCATATTGCATCTGTAAAGTCGTGGTTGTTGGAAAAATCTGATCATAATAAACCTCAGAGTAACACCCAGAAGATTGGATGAAAAATAAATTCACATTTCCCCACTTCATCCCCTCCATATGTTCTCATTCAGAAATCCATCACACCATCTGATCAGCGCCATAAATAAAGTCACCTGCTAAGTCCTGCAACACTGCAACCACTCTCAGGTTACAGTTTGTTTTATGGCCTTTTTTTTCTATGGCAGGCTGATTATTTTAACATGTGTTCAGCTCAGCTGCCAATATGTGGATACATGTATAGCAGCTGTAGATGCAGAGAGACTGGGCAGGGGAGCAGAAAAGCAGTGAATTATGTTTTTTAACTCGGTCCAAATGGTTGAATAAATCAAACTACAGAGAAACGAGGTGAAGAGCAATGAATAGGCCAATATAGACACTTAGATGTCTGTTAGTAAAGTCAAGAAGAGTCTGTTTAACATCTCAAGAATGGCCGTCCCTTTTGAACCCCCAATTCATAAAATGCTTTCTATTGTGAACAAACATGTAAAGACAAATGGCAGCAAGACAAACACGGATTCAGAGACAAACACAATGAGCATAAAGATCAGCTGTCCAAAATCATCGTCACTCTTTCCATCCATTCATCCGTCCACCCACAAGAGGTTTTGTATTTTTTTAACGCCTTCTCTCTATCTCTATCTCTTTGTCTATCCGTCCTGTGTTGTTCTTATTTAAATGTCAGGCTAATTGTCTGCTACTGTGAGCATTTTTTTTTTGCTCCTCTTTTGCAATGAAAACAGCTGAGCCCTCTCCCAGACGCTCTGTGAAAGACATGGCAGTGCATTCCATGCTGCTTTGTAATGCTGTCATTTATCACAGCATGTGGACCATTAGTGTGAATCATTTATTGTCTTTGGCGTACTCAAAGAAAAATCCCCACCAACCCAACTCTGGCAGGTCTATATGGAATGAGAGGAAGGTTTAAATATTGTGCATATTGATTGAGGGGCCAAGTGTTCAACAAAGCAGCCTGTGTTTGGTTTGTGAAGCAGCTGAAGGAGCTCCTTAAGAGCAGCATTGTTAGTGTGAGTGTAAAATCTTGTCACTACATATCGTATCGGCAGGCCCTGTTCCTAACCTTGTGGCTAAGTGTTTTTTTTTTCCCTTGTCTACATTTCTAAGGTGACAGAGAGTGGGAGAAGTCAACATATGCATGGCTGACTTTTTGCACAAACTCCATAATTACCATGTCAATGTGGCTGTAGAAATGAGGCGAAACGAGGCCGTTTTACAAGGACGGGGCAACGACTCCTCCTGAACAGCCTTCCTCACCGCTGACTCACAGGATGCTTTTGCAAAAGGCCTCCCACACACCGCTGATATGATTACTTGTGTTGTTACGTCCAATTAATAGAATAAATAACTTAAAATCAGTACAAATGGTTTAAATGTAAGGGTTACCCACAACAGGTTAATTAAACCAGTTATTGCAACAAGCCTTTTCAATGAAAGGATTCATTATAAAATCCATGTTTTATCTTGAATACTTCTGGTTTTAATCCTGCAAATATTGTAAAATGCTCTGTATATTACTGCTATTCACTATTGCAGTCCTCATGGTCAAGGCCAGAAGCTGATGCTTTATTTTAAAGGTTGATTTGGGGGCTTTTTATGCCTTTATTTAGAGAACAGAATGTGGGTAGAGTCAGAAATCAGGGAGAGAGAGAGAGAGAGAGTGGGGAATGATATGTGGGAAAGGAGCTACAGGTCAGATTCAAATCTGGGCCAACCTTGGAGCACTATAGCCTCCGTACAGGGGGAGTGCGCGCTAACCACTTGGCTACTGGCGCCCCAAGCTAATGCTATATGGCGGTCCTTTGCATGGCAACGTTAGGGAACCCCTTGGCTGACCTAAAAAAACATTCTCAAAAACGCACACAAATACAGAGGCAGAAACAGACAGACAAAGACAAAGACACACAAATTAAGTATCAAGGGAATAAAAGTGATTCATGCATTTTTTTAAAGCATTCAAGAGATTCTGCTGTTCTAAAATGTGAGTGGAGGCTTTTTCTCAATCTCTGTGAGGCCCACAGTGATTGTGGGATGGTTAAAAGCCGTTTATCAGGCGAACTGACGGACCTGCCTCTGCCAGACGGGGATGAGAGTTCTATAATATAGCAACAGGGGCAAAGTCATGGAGGACAAACAGAATCATTTTGCATGTGATTTGGTAATGAATGGGGAGCCAGCACAGGGATGCAAGTATGTTTGTGATGTTTTTCCTTTTTTGTGTGTACAAATCAGACTGTTGTCGGCATTCTGAAAGAGAAATAACTGATGTATGGAGACCTGGTTGATATGACAATAAAGATGGTTTTGGGTTGTTGAGTCAGGATGATAATAAGACCCCACTTTGTCTCTCTCCTCAGACCTGAAGAAGTCCTTCGAACAGGAACCTCTGGGAAAGGAAGTGTCCCTGGAGCAGGAGGTGCTGCTGCAGTGTCGCCCTCCGGAGGGCATACCGGCTGCTGAGGTAGGCACAGTTTCATTGTTAACGACAAAAAAAGAGAAGAACATGGAGGGTGTGATTTAAGAATAACGGTCGAGAGAGTGACCTAAGATTATATGACACCATAATGAAGACGAGAGAGAATTAAAAAAAGGGAAAAATTACTCGTCATCCAATGGAATTAAGTTGAAATTGTCAAAGAAACATGATGTGACACTTTGATATTGCCAATGCCTAGAGCTGTGAATGACGGACAGCAGAACAGAGTGTTTTGATGGGTGCTCTGCTCTTTCACTCTCTGCAGTCAGCGGTTGAAGGGTGTGCTGAATGAAAATGCATCCTGACCATTCTTGAATATATTGTTAAATAGCCTCTTTGGCTGGATATCTTTACAAGTGTTAGGTCTAAAGCCAAGACTGAATGGACTGTGTATCTCGTATTAAAGGCTTTATATGCGATTTTCACACTTAAATGTAGAAATCAAGTATATCCTCTGAAAATAACTCTGTGAGTCATGACTGTCTACAATGGGTGTTACACCCGAGTCCCACTGTCTGTGATGTTTTCAGAGTTTTTAGAGTCCTATCTTCAGTTTGTTTACATCGCGGACAGCCGGCTAACTCCTCCCCTCGTGTATAAAGTTGTTTAATTGAGGGACTAGAGAAAAGAAGAATAACATACTGTACTCACTGCTTAACTGTGTTTCTAGATCACGCTCATTTCAGGTAAATTTACATGCAGTGTGAAGATACCAGCATAATAAAGATCGCTAGCATTAGCATGCTAACACAACAATGCAGCGCGAGTTGTTTTGGTTGCATGCTGGCGCTCAAGGGCGACATCTGCTGGATCAAAACATCGCATATAAAGCCTTTAAAGGTCGGCCTAAGTTTCCATTAAGAAACTGCAAAACTGAGAAAAAATAATAAATTGGACAAAGTCAATGTTTTGAAGAAAAACTAAATCAGAGGTTGGCATTCAATGAATTCACCTTTCGAGGATTTTGAAACATGTCTCCAAAGTGTTCTCAGAACTAGAAAACTTTTCCTCCCCCCCACATTGCACACCATCAAGCTTCCTGAACTGTCACAGGGGGAATCAGGAAAACAGCCTGAAAACCTGTTTTGAGCGACAGTTGCTTGAAAACTCTTCAACTAGGTAACTCATAGTTGCAAAGATTCCAAAGTTTAAACTTAGACTTAAACGTCCCCAGAGAGCCAATTTGAGCTGCATGCACAAGTTACATGAGGAAATCTCAGCCAGTGCAGAAGCTTAGCCTATATATCGCTGTGTACATTTTTAAAGGTTGATTGCTTACTGTACCTGAGCTCTGAGGGAAATAATGAGGGTAATTAATGAAAGCGGATTGTCTGCTTTCCTTCAAAAGGACTAAAAAAAAAGAGTGCATGTTCCTACTCATTAGCATGGAGGTGCTGAAAACTGAGCTGAGGTGAATATAATTGCATTAAAGGAAGGTGAAGGCTTTATTATGAGCAATCTGGTAAAATCACATTATTCTTTAGGCTGTTTTAAGTCAGTCACTTACTGCCTTTGATAAGTGGCGTCGACTTTGTGCGGTCGAAGGTTCACAGCCATGCCGTCGTCTGAACAGCTGAGGATTTTAAATACACTCGTAAATACAGGCGCGGTAAACACATGCACACTCAACACTTCCCCTCTCATTGTAAGATAATATTGTATGCATGCAGTATATTGTCAGCACATCCTCATTTTTATCCACTCATCAAACGTGTCGCAGAGTAAACAGCCACTCGGGGAGAGCCACACGCGTCACCTCGTCTCCCCCAGGGCCCTTAACTACAGAGGAGCACGTCATTCACAATCCAGATTGTTCTTTATACGTTCCCCATTTAATCTGGCTGCGCTCCCACCTGAATGGATAAAAAGACATAATTTCATTTAGTCAGTCACCGGGGAAGATCAGCACACAGCACTTGGAGAGAGAGAGGGCTGCGCTACCGGATAAGGAGCCTCTGAATCAGGTTTCACTCCTCAGGTTTTGATAGTCGTTTTGAATTGCACCTAAGTACACAGCTCCCCTGAGGGGGTGAAAGGGAGAGGGAGGGAGGGGGGGGATACTGAGAAAAGAGGGGTGAGGGAGGCGCTTAGATGGACCCGGCATACAAAGAAGAAAGAAGAATGGGAGAGAAGGAGAAGTGGTTGTGATTGAAAAGGGATCTTTTCCTGCCCTTTCACTTGTAGAAATATGTCTTTCTTAAAGCTCCTGTGAGGAACTTTGTGTTTGTGTGGATTTTGGCGCCCCCTGTGGACACACCACTTAATACATTGCTGATATTGTTTTGTGCATGTAAGTAGTATTCTTTTTATAAGGGTTTATTTGTGGGCTTGTTACGCCTTTATTCTAAAGACAGGACAGTGGATAGAGTCAGAAACGGGGAACGACATGCGGAAAAAGGAGCCACATGGGTACATGGGGCCTGAGCACTAACTCCATGCTAACGGCACCCCCAGAAGTAGCCTATTCTTTTATTTATCAAAAAATGTCATCCTCCTTTCTTCGGACAGTCACACTTTAAGTTTGACGGTCGTTACTTTTTGTCATGGTAAACTATTGCTGTTTTTGGCAGTGTGCTTTTTAACGCCTGTTTTGACACCTGAACCCTGCTGCAGCGATTTCAGGCATTAGAAATAACTGGAAACCGTCTCGTAAATGATGATCTCGTTTGCTTTTGTAGATCATAAAATGCATCAGTATTTATCTTGTTCTGCTTCACCAGGTAAAAACTTCTCACAGGAGCTTTGAGAGAGATCAAGCAAATAATCTGTCAGAATTCAATTCAAATAACTTCATTTATCTGTAAAATAACGTTATGGAGTTTGTGCAAAAATCACTACTTTTACATGAGCAGGGCAAAATCAGCAAATAATTTAGGTTCCACTTTGTCCACAGGGGGCGCCAAAATCAACACAGACTGAAAGTCTCATACAGAAGCTTTAAATTTAACTGATTTTGACACAAAAAACATGGCGGCTTATTTTAATTGTTTTCACACTTCCAACCTGTGTTCCTCCATCTTCAGGACAAATCTCCACACTAATGAGTCATTACGACTGCTGCCTGTCTGCTTAGACAGGCAGTTTTAACACATCACCTTTAAACACAAAGACATGTTTACAGACACACACACACAATCAGACACACTTACACTGAAAGCTATTTTCCCCACAGTGTTCAATTTGCTACTTTTTTCCATTCCTTTCTCCCGTCATAATGGGATCTCAGGGCAAATGGATTGGTCCGTTTCCCCTGTCTGCTGAAGCTGATTAGAGGGATTTAGGTTTAAAACCTGCTGGTGACCTCAGGTTGTAGCCCTGCCTTTCGTTTTTTTTTTTTTTTTAACCTCCTCTGACTTTCTATTTCTCTCAGTTCTTATCACACTTGTTCTCTTTGACATTCACATTCTTTATTTCCTGTCTCCATAAGTCCTCCACATACACAACAATCGTTTTGTTGTTGTTGTTTTTTTGATTGACAGTTGTTGGTGTCCTGTGACCTCTCTTGAAATGTTCTAATATTAGTCGTTGCGGTTGCCGAGTTGAGCGGTTGACGACTGTTGTAAAGTTGTCAAAGTGATAGGGTTGTTGCCCTGTTATGTGACACGCATATCGTAATGCCCAGCTGGCATCACGTGGCTGTCAACATGCCGAAACCGAAAAAATCCTTGACTCCATAAACACACATGCAAACACAACACAGACACAGTTCACATTCGTATTCGCGACAGCATCCACACTCACAGACGCACATATACCGAAAGCATGACAGGAGTTGCACTTAAGGAAAGATTAGCCTGGGAACATTTCAACTGCTGCACAACTGTTAGCCTTGAGAGGTCAGGGTCAAACCAATTCAAGATCTCAAAGAAAGCGTCCACACGCCAAGCCAATGCACCATTATTTCCTCTTCACTTTGCTCTGACAGGACAGCTCGTGTCATCAGTCAGTCTAGTCTTCTTGTTTTTCTTTTTTTCTCTCTCTCTTTCAGTCCAAAAGCTCCTGAGAGACACAATTTGAAGCATTGTGAAATCCTTGAGAAACATCTAAATCTCTTTAGACTGTGATAGAAAGCCTTTTAAAAGCTAACGGAAAGCTATTGGATTCAGCGGGGAGGGTTCAGCAGTTCAACACACAGAGGCTTTATGGACACAGATGGTGAATTGAGAGAACGTGCAACAAGTACAGAACAATGTTCACTTTCTATGAAAAATCTCTCCCATCTGATTTGATTTCTTCCTAGTTTGGTTTGTGTTTTTGTAAAACTTCTTATATTTCTGAAAATTCTTTTATCGCCTGAGGTTGTTGCGCATCAAAATGTCTCTGAAAACAAGCAACGTACTGAAATTTTCAACTGGGCTGCAGTATGTTTTTCTCTGGAAATGTTGCAAGGCTTCATTAGGACATGGAGGTCAACAAAGTCTGACAGCAAGAACACATTTTACCTTGAAACCCAAAGAGTAGGAGTGACCCCGCAGGCCAGGCGAAACCAGCAGACAGCGCAGAGCAGGTGGGGTTATGGATTTGTGTGTGTGCGTTGTGTATGTGAGTGTCTATGTGAATATTTGTCTATGTGCCTGTCTGCGTCTGTCTCTTGAGTGTGAGTGATTAGCCCAGCTGCAGTGAAATAAACACATCAGTGTGTGGTGACAGGCCCTCCACGTGTCTAGCCCTAACACACACAAACACTCAGGCACACACTCAAACACACACAGCTTTAGACAGTAACTGGATATGTGTCTGGAGCCGGGTCAAGTTCCTGTCACATTCTTAACCTCTCCATCCACAGCCCCAAATAAGGGCGAGTTATTTTCTGGATAATGTCTTTTAATAAATATATCCATTCTTTGTCTGAGTGTAGTTTTACATGTGGATACAGCCATAAGTTGAGACAAAAACATCATTTTTATTCACCTTAAGCCTCCTATTTGGCTCTGACACCATCTTTAGGGTGCAGGCTGAAGTGCTGCTTACATGGTGTACTCATG